CATACCGTGCAGATTGTAGGGGGAACCAGGAGTTGTTGGCGGCGGCGTGTGGTTGGTGGTGCGGTTGTGTGTGTTATGTGGTCTGTGGTGGCTGTAGTACGGTCTGTGGTGTTATTATGTTGTTGTGTTGTGGCGACTGTGTGTGGTTGCTGTGTGAGTGTGTGGGGCTGCACGGGCGGAATTTGGTTTGCCGTGGAGGCTGCTCTGTTTGAGCAACAGGGGGCCACGTAAGACGTGGTCCACTGTCTGTGTGTCCGTAGTCCCGAGCAGACCCTGAGGTGACTCCACCCCTCGCAGGCATTACACTTGACTGAGGTGGAGTTGTGGTGTAATCGTCTTCGGCATACACAGCAGGTGTATATTTCTGGCCCAGGGTTTGACTCGATGCCAGCCCTGAGTAGGAGAATGCGTAGTGAATGTTGCCCTATGGACGGACAACTTCTGAGATACTTCGCCGACCTAAACGGGGTTAGATCGCCGAAACAACAGCCCTTGGTCGGGTGAAACCCGAGTCATTCCGGTACGTAGAACCGGCTGTCGTGGGAATGTCTATTTCCTCGTACTGGATAACGGTGTTGATCCTGAATTGTTTTAAAGCCCTGAATGTCTTCTTTTAGAAAGTCGTCCATCCCTTCCTGATTTTCCTCAAAATTTGTATCTCCAGCGGATTTAATAATTCCTTGATTTCCTGGTTCTGGAATAATATTAGGTTCAACTTCATCCCTCTGTCAAGCTGCAGCTTTTAGTGATAGATTGTCTTCGAAATCTGGCAATTTGAACCACTCTAGCATTTCATTTTTAGAGTAACGGCGCTTAAGTTGGTTAGCGTGAGCCTTGACAATGCGATTACCCGAAGGTGTTATAACATCCACAGTATAATTGACAGCCCCATTTCGACTTTTAATTATACCTGGAACCCATTCCCACACTTTGCTAGTTGAATGAAGCTGATAGTAAACCTCATCATCAACATTGAACTCTCTCCATTTCGCACCATGGTGGTAATTAAATTGATCTTCCATTTTCGTGCTTGAAATCGAATTTGAAAGGTTTTTTGGCTTCAGAAGATCTAATTTTGTTCGCATCGGACGGCCTGTCATCAATTCAAACGGCGATTTCATTCCAAGATGGTAAGAAGGTGTATATCGATATGAAAACAAGAATTCGCGTAACTTCTGGTCAATATTCCCTGCTGCCTTTCCAATTCCTTTCTTAAATAATTCTACAAATCGTTCTGCCTGACCGTTTGACTGTGGACTGTAAAATGAGGTCGTCAAATGTTTGATGCCTTTAAATTTACAATAATCTTCAAATGTACATGAAACAAACTGTGGTCCGTTATCGGTGACACAAATTTCACATAAACCTTGGTGCGCAATTACATCATCAAACATATCAACAGTTTTTTCACTGGTGGTTACTTTAGTTTTGATAATCTCCGGCCACTTGCTAAAAGCATCGACGATAATCAGAAAGTAATAATTGTCTATTGGACCAGCGTAATCGAGATGAACTCGAATCCATGGTGCTATTGGCATTGGCCAAGGGTGCAGAGTGCACTTGATTGGTGTTTTCGCTGCCTTAGCACAGCTATCACACGATTTCACGATCTGTTCAATATCTTTAGACATTCTTGGCCAAAACACTTTGTCGGCAGCCAACAGCTTTATACGACACACACCTGGATGACCTTCATGAAGACTTCCAATTATTTTCTTACGCAGTTTGAACGGAATAATAATTTGTTCGCCTCTGAACAAACAACCTTGGGCTTCCTTCAAGTCGTAGCGATATGGAAAGAAAGCGGCTACCTCAATTTCTTTTACTTGCTTGCAAAACTTGGGCCATTTATCTTGCGATACAAATTCAATGACCTTTTTGAGTGTCGGGCAATCGTTGGTGGCTACTTGAATATCTTTGAATGTGATTGGTAGCTGTTTTGCTGATTGAATGGCAAAACAAGATATATCTTCTACATTTTCATTACTCCACGAAATAGATGCAATGACAGTATCTTCGTCGGGTTTGGTGTATTCAGACATCAGTCGGGATACAACATCAACATATCCGAAACTGTTTGTACCGATGAACTCAAAATTAATGTCGTAAGCTAAAACGATGAGCGCCCAGCGTTGTAGACGGTTAGCCGTATAAACTGGGATACCACTTTTTGATCCAAAGATAGCGAGCAAGGGCTTGTGGTCGACTTGAGCGAAGAAACGTCGACCTGCGATATAAATGTGAGATCGTTTCAAACCAAATATGAATGCACGAGCTTCCTTTTCGATTTGAGAGTAATTTTTCTCAGCTTCATTGAATGTTGCAGCAAAACGCATTATTGGGTGAAGAGATCCATCCTTGAAACGATACATTAATGCTGCCCCCATGCCGTCTTTTGATGCATCAGTAGCCAGTACAATGTCTTTTCTTGGGTCGAAATGCGTAAGAACTAAATCTGATGACAAAATCTTCTTCAGTTGATCGAATGCTTCTTTATGAATGCTTTGCCATTCAAATTTTGCTTCTTTCTTCAATAAGTCATCCAATGGACCTCTCAACTGCTTCATTGACTTGATAAACTTGCCGTAGTAGTTCACTGAACCTAGGAATGATCGCAATTGGCTAACGTGTTTAGGTTGAGGAACTGATTGAACTTCCCAAATTTTTTCAGGATTTGGCCTGATGCCTTTCTCATCGATGATATGGCCGCAAAAGTTAACTGACGACTTGCCAAAACAACACTTGCTAATATTTAATTTAAAACCATAAATTTGAAGCTGTTCAAGCGTCTTGAAGAGCTGCTGTTTGTGATCGTCAAGGTTCTCTCCTGCTGTGATCATGTCATCGATAAAACCAAATGTTGAGGTTCCACTGAGCATTTTATCAACTATGGCTTGGAATTCCCCAGGCGCTGTTTTGACTCCTTGCTGAAGGCGATTTACTTTAAACATTCCAACGTGAGTGTTGATTGCCATAATTTCCTTGGAATCATCATCAACCTCGACTTGAAAAAAAACGTCGGACAAATCTATGGTACTGAATATTGTCTTTCCTGCAAACTTAGCGAAAATTATATCGGGTGTCGGCAAAGGGTACATGTTTGGCTCAAGTGCATTGTTAAGACCAGTTGAATAATCAGCACAGATTCGCAATTTGCCATTCTTCTTTTTAACAACCACGATAGGTGCTGCCCATTGGGAATACTTGATTGGACTGATAATGCCAAGATGTTGAAGGCGTTCCAGTTCAATTGAAATGGGTTCGCGAGCTGCTTGCGGAACTGGTCGAGCATTCCGAAATATTGGATGGGCTCCAGGCTTGAGCTTCAGAGAAACTTTTCCTTTGTTGAAACAGCCAAGTCCCTCGGAAAAAAGCTGCGGAAATTTTTCGCAAACTTCAATAGCCAAGTCATCACCAGTTGATTTTATATGTTTGCAAACAGAATCAAAGGGAACACTCCAAAGATCGAAAGAAGTAATCCAAGGTATGCCAAAAAGATTCAATTCAAGTGATGTAACGTAGCAAATTCCGCGTTTTTCCTTCCCATTTAGTTTAATGCCACAATTGAAGGCACCCAAAATTGGAATAGCAGCACCTGATGCGCTTGTGGCATTGGTGCGTATTTCAGATGACAGCATTGGTTGTCCGATTAAAATCCAATTTGATTTTGATATGATTGTTATATCGGAAGCAGTATCAACCTGCAATTTGATTACAGTTCCGTTTACAACTGGACTGATATACTTTCGGTTAGAGATTGCGTGAACGTTAGCTTCAACTAGATTCGAACTGTGGTTTTTCTTGCTGGATGATTTATATCCCTTGAAATTTTTCATAAAAGCACAGAAACCTGTCTTATGCCCTTTTTCATTACATTCGCCACACTGCTTGTCCTTGCATGGACAATTATCACTCCAATGCATTTCGCCGCAACGAAAACAGGCCAAGCGAGGAGTGTCGTTTCTTTGGTTCCGAACCATTGACTTGTCTTTGTTGACTAATGACTTTGAGTTTTTATTTTGTTGAACAGAATGAACTTCTTGAGCAGCGAATGCCTCGCCAACTTTACCCTTGTCAAGCTTCAAACAAATTATACGCTCGGCTTCGTTGATCAGATCCTGCAAATTTAGCTTGTGAACCTCTGCACGTGCAGCCGCATCTGTTACCCTCTCCAACTCTATATCCTGATTGTCAACTTTCGTTAGAAGCTTTTCCAGGATAAGCGAGTCCTTGACGTCTTTTAACCCACTCACAAATAACAAAACTTTAAAGTCATCCGCGGTACAATGAGAATGTCAAACTTCTCGGCGTGCTTATTTATACGAGCGGCATACATGCTAAAATCCTCATGGTCTAACTTTGCGAGGTTAAAACACCTATGACGCATTGCGAACTTTGTTTCTTTATAACCGAAAAGTTTCTTAAGTGTTGTCACAGTATTAGCAAATGTACAATCTTGTGGTTTAAGAGGTAATATTGAATCCGCATAACGTTGATACTGTTCCTGATTGAATTTTTGGAAAAGAAGATAAACTTTTGTCGGTTCATCCAGACACTCTGCTTGATTTGTAAAAACCGACTCATACCGTTCATAATAAGCCTCAAACGTTTGATTTTTATCTGGGTCATATTCAAAATTGACCATAGAATCGGCCAAACATTTAACTTTAAATGCTGTTGAATCTTGAGCAAGAACGGCTTGATCTGCAATCTGTGCCGGTTGACCTTGAAGAATGCGCTCAATCAGATTCTGCTGTTGTTTCATATGCTGTTGCATCAAATTCTTTTCTTCTTGGTGTTGCTTCAAAATCTGTTGATTTTGTACTTGCAATTCCTCGAACAATGCCTTGAATTGTGAGTGATCCATTTTGCTGAATGCGTGTTTTCTAAATTAAACTCGTCGCCAATGTAGTAAATCGTAATTATTTAATGAATAATGAAGATTTACAAAGATATGTTATTCAATTGCAAACAGAAATAAAACTCATAATTTTTCAATCAGTAAAATAATTTGACAAAAAGTGCAAAGCTTTTTAAGGAATGGAAAAAAACGCAAAGTCAATAATCAAGTCTCGAACACTCTGTTTATCCATTTGTAACAACTTCGCCATCACATCCGCAAGCGACAAAATACAGGAAACAAAAGGGCAAAAACAACAATAGAACGATCAGCTGGCCGGATTACATGGAGGTGGGAGCGGGTCAACGGCCGCTGCACAAAATTCGAACACTTGGAAGCTGGATGTACATAGAGTGAGGGAAGCTGAAAAAGTGAAGAGCAAACTATAACTCACCTGGAACAAGTAAGCTGAAAACTGGGGAGAGTGGGCTGAATTGCAGTGAGCGAACATTCGCCAGCACCAGCCACGTACATACATACATCGTCGCGCGGTCAGCAACGGTGAGATCGCCCAACGAAAGTCGATAGCAACCGCGCCGCCGCGACCAGCAGCGCAGCAGAACCGACGACGTCACCATTCCCACGCATTCCCACGACAGCCGGTTCTACGTACCGGAATGACTCGGGTTTCACCCGACCAAGGGCTGTTGTTTCGGCGATCTAACCCCGTTTAGGTCGGCGAAGTATCTCAGAAGTTGTCCGTCCATAGGGCAACATTCACTACGCATTCTCCTACTCAGGGCTGGCATCGAGTCAAACCCTGGGCCAGAAATATACACCTGCTGTGTATGCCGAAGACGATTACACCACAACTCCACCTCAGTCAAGTGTAATGCCTGCGAGGGGTGGAGTCACCTCAGGGTCTGCTCGGGACTACGGACACACAGACAGTGGACCACGTCTTACGTGGCCCCCTGTGGCTCAAACAGAGCAGCCTCCACGGCAAACGATAGTCCGCCCGGGCAGCCCCACACACTCACACAGCAACCACACACAGTCGCCACTACACAACAACAAAATAACACCACAGACCGTACCATAGCCACCACAAACCACATAACACACACAACCGCACCACCACCCACACGCCGCCGCCAACAACTCTTGGTTCCCCCTACAATCTGCACGGTATGTCAGACCAGAATATTCCGTAATGTGACATCAGTCAAGTGCAACACCTGCCTTGGCTGGTGCCACTTTAGGGCATGTTCAGGTCTGCGTACCACGCGAGATTGGACGGGGAATTTCGAGGGCCCGTGTTGCGCTGCTCGGTCGCAGACGTCAATTGCGACGCCCCCCACCACCACCACAGGGCGGCAATCACCTCAGCAGCACACACAGCCAACGGCGGCAAGAACATACACCTCACTCACACCCCACATCACGACACGTCTCCCGAACCACATGAAGCTCCTCCAATTCAACTGTAACGGGCTACAGAGCAAGATTGAGGAGATAACCGTCTTCATGTGTCGGCATGGTATATTAATAGCTGCGGTCCAAGAGACGAAGCTGCAGCTCGCTTCATACCGGCAGGACGTATATCGGACCCACGTCCAAACTTCCCTGCCGAAGCGGCTGTTCTAGCTGATGAGCGTGATAGCCTTCGTCAGGCCGATCCCGGAAATCCCCGTATCAGGGATCTCAACGCGGAGATTCGGCAACTTGTAAACGTACATAAGCGGAAGAAGTGGGAGGAGCACCTGAAGACTTGTAATTTCACCTCTGGTGTGAGCAAGCTTTGGTCAACCGTGAGGTCATCGTCTAATCCGACGAAGCACGACGACAGAGTCGAAATTTGCTTCGGCGACCATGCTTCGTCGGACCCGGAGCGATGCGCGAGTTATTTTAGCCGGCAGTTCATACTGCATCCTCCGGTAGACAAAGCCAAGCGTCGAGTGACCAGAAGGCTGCACAAACTGCCAACAAATTGTGCCCCCCTTGCTTTCACTTGCGGTGAAGTTCAGGTGGCCATCGGGAAGGCGAAAGCCTCCAAAGCCATGGGTCCCGACGGAATGTGCATGCTGATACTGAAAAATTTGGGTCCTGCGGGGGTAGCGTACCTAACGGAGGTCCTCAACCTGTCAATGGCCACTCTCATCATCCCAGACATCTGGAAGGTGGGGAGAGTGGTCCCACTGCTCAAACCGGGGAAACCCGCCAACAAAGGAGATTCGTATCGTCCGATTACACTCCTTTCCCCGGTAGCGAAGACACTCGAGGCCTTGCTACTCCCGTACTTCACAAACCACCTGACCCCAGCGAAGCATCAGCATGGTTTCCGTAAAGTGCACAGTACAACAACAGCACTTAACGCCATAAACACTCAGATAACTCGTGGCCTTAACCGCAACCGTCCCTGTGAGAGAACGATTCTAGTAGCGTTGGACTTGTCAAAGGCGTTTGACACCGTCTGCCATTCCACGCTGCTAGAAGATATAGAGGCCTCCTCTCTCCCACAGAGGCTCAAACGGTGGTCGGCAAATTATCTGAGTGGTCGACATTCGTCGGTAACATTTAGAGACAAAACGAGTAAGCAGCGAAAAATAAAACAGGGGGTTCCTCAGGGTGGTGTCCTTTCCCCGCTACTGTTTAACTTTTATATTTCAAAGATCCCTGAACCACCAGAGGGAGTCTCGATTGTCTCCTATGCCGACGACTGCTCGATCATGGCGACTGGGAATGGAATTGATGACCTGTGTTTGAAAGTAAACGGCTATCTCTCGGAGTAACATTCGACAGCCTGCTCTCCTTCTCTGCGCACTCAACCGCTATTGTCAATAAAGTACAGAGCCGCAACAAGGTCCTCAAGTCGCTAGCCGGCAGTACTTGGGGCAAAGACAAAGAAACGTTGCTGGCAACATACAAGGCAATAGGCCGGCCGGTTTTGAACTACGCAGCGCCAGTGTGGTCGCCAGGGACTAGTAGGACGCAGTGGACGAAGCTACAGACGGGACAAAATACGGCACTTAGGACAGCGACGGGATGCCTCCTGATGCCGCCTGAACACCACTTGCACGGCGAGGCGCAAATGCTCCCAGTTAAGGAGCATAACATAATGCTCTGCAAGCAGTTCCTGATCGGGAGCCACAGAAGTGGCCACCCAAACAGACAGCTGCTTGCAGAGGAGCCCTCGCCTAGGCACGTCAGGAGGCATCTATATGAACTGACGGACGAAGTCCAGAGGTTCATTAAGCAACCTCTGGACCCGACAGCGTACAGACAGGCCCTGAACGGCATTCACAAGGACTCAGTCTCGAGTTATGTAGACTCTAGACCTGTGAATGCCGTTCTAGGCATACCACCCCCGGACATAGACGAGACAGAGCTTCATCTGCCTCGGGAGACACGCACTACACTCGCTCAACTTCGCTCCGGCTACTGCAGCAGGTTAAACTCCTACTTGAGTAGGTTGAATGAGGATGTGCCGAACGAATGTCCGGCATGCGGAGAGACCCCACACGACTCGAACCATCTCTTCGCATGCCCGGAAAACCCGACAACCCTAACGGCCTTGTCCCTGTGGACAGATCCCACAGAAGCTGCACGCTTCCTAGGGTTGCCGTTAGTGGAACTTGACGACAACGACTGAGATACCAACCGATCTGGGCGGGGTTGTTGTAGCCGCTACAACAACAACAACAACGTCACCATTGCTTTTGGTTATTGTTGTTTTTCGCATTTTTTAAGTGAAACTTCTTAGGCGGCGGTATCGCAAAAATGGAGAGTGAAATTTTTAAAACTGAAAAGGTTACATGAGTGAGAAGGAAGATATACTACCTATATATAGGGAAGGGGAAAAAAGAAATAAAGCGACGCATGACGGGTACGAGTACCTACATATGTATATATGTATGTTTGAATGCACGTATGTATGTATACATATATATATATGTATGTATGAACGAACTCATTGCGCATTTCAGCACTGCCGCTACCAAGCAATATATGTATAAATGATGCAAGCGTGCTTCGCGTAACTACACCCATTCGTACATATGTACATATGTTTGTATGGATATATTTGTGATGAAGCAAACGGGCTTCGTTGATGTACTGATGGGCATATGTATGTACTTATGGACAGCAATATTTTCATGTATGTACATATGTTTGAATGGTTGTATATATATTTGATGTACATATATTTGTGTATGTACATATGTTTGTGTACATGTATATATGTATGCACATATGTAGTACAAACGAAAACAAATCTAATAAGCTGCTTGTTGATATAAATGCGAACTGTACTGATTATCAAAAATTATGTGTTTGTTGTACATTTGCTCATGTTTGTCATTGTGCGTGTAATTTTCTAGAGTAGTTTTGTGCTCTCGCTATCTCCTTGTATTAACTCGTCCTTCGTTGGTATACTCTGATGAACATATGTGAGGATGATAGCAAGGCCAACTTATATAAGGTAGTGTTACAGGAGCAGTTGAAATTTTCGCCCGATGTTTCTTAAAGAAAGCCATAAACGTAGCGACCGTTGGTTCAACTTGGTGTTGTTTTTCTCTAGATTGAAAGATCAAAAAATTTGGATTTTCTGGCAAGTTGTACGACTTATCGCTACATTAATGGCCATGTTGTACAAACTCATTTAATTTGCGTTTATTTTGTACACTAAATAACCGAAAATGGATAACTCAGCCGAAATAGGTACGTGCTTTCGTTGAATTTTATAAATGTAAGCCGAAACTATGAAATTGTAAAAATGAGATTTTACAATGAGACTGCTCGCAAAATTGCAATGTTTGTGGGCAAAACGTCCAACTTGATTGCGGATTGATTTGAACCAACGTTTTCGGTTTGCATTATGTCAAAAGGATGTGTTTGTTGTAATTCATTCTGTCATTTACTACCATTATGCGTAGGCCAATTCATGAAATCATTTCATGCGTTTGAGTAGAAACTGAATGAATGAACACCATTTCATGATTTCAATTAACGCGAAATAGAGTTTA